AAAGAAGAGGCTCGGGAGGAGGATGAAGAACTAGAAGAGGAGGAGGAGGAGGAGGACAAGGACGAATACTTCTGCCTTTCTGCTAACGTCTTTTTGCTAACATTTTATTCTATATTTCCTAAAATGGCTTAATAAACCAGCTGCAATTAGAAACAGTGAGTGTACTGGTTTTGATATTCACACATTTAATGTACATTTGTATATGCTGTTTGGAGAGAAAGGGGAGACCAAGCACATGTTTATAAGTTTAAAAAAATTATAATTTTGTATATATAAATAAAAAAAGTACAATAATATTGATTAATATATGGTTCATAATGTTTGATTTTGGAGTCTTGTTTGTGACCAGTACAGACAAAGTCACAGAGAGAAGTTGAAAGTAGATGTTGGTTTTAAGTTCAGGAAGGAACTAAAAAGTCTGTAACAGGTGTCAAAATGAATCTGATTATGTTAGATTAGACTTTAGACAGGGCCGATTCCATTGATCAACAATGGTGAATAACTACACCTCTACAATCTATGGTCAGGTTATGACACGTTTAATATTTTTGTCACCCATATAGAAAAACATGAGGTGGATAAAATGCTATAAACACCGCATCCTCACCAGTGGTCAGATAGATAATGTGACATGATGAAAGGCAGCAACTAATATCCCTGCTTGATCACATTTCTAACAGTGTGTGTGTGTGTGTGTGTGTGTGTTGATTTCAGCATCATCTGACATTTATGGTCCTGTGACCCTCTGCACAACTTCCTTTTTTTGACTCCTTAAAAAAAATAGTGTGTGCATGTGTGAGTGAGTGTGCATGGGCAGATAGATTCAAAGTCATTGTGCAAGATTAGTGACAGCCAAGGGAGGTAGAGCAGAAGAATAAACGCCTGAAAGTGCCATTTCCTGTAGCCTTGAATCATGTGCAAAAAAGCTGCTCTTTCACTATAAAGCTCAGTTTGCGTTGCACAATTATATATAAAAATACTAGTTTTTCATTCGGTTCTTCGCTGTCAGTAGTAACATAAATTACAGTAGACAGATAAATGCACGTGTACATATTGCATATTTGGAGGTCACATGAAGGCTGGATCACAGGGAAGGACAGGCCCTGGTGTGATAGTTGAGCAGCTGACAGTTTATTACTATTTGCACCTGGATTAGGGCGTTCCCTTTGTTCTTTGTTTTTGAAGGCGTCGAGGGAGTTTGTTTCATCTGATATTCCAAATGATGTTTTACTCTGTCATTATAAATTGTGGGCTACAGTATATTTCTGCATATTTTAATTCTGATATTGCAATGCTCTGTTAAAGGTAGGGTCGGCAATCCTGTTCAGAAGCACGTTTTGTTATACTGGGTGAAATGGTCCCTCTGTTGTCAGAGGAATCAATTCGTTATGTCTTCAGAAAAAAGAACGGAAAAAATCAGACTCTCTAGTCAGCTGCAGCGACTTGGAGGAAGGACTTCGAACCAATCCGTGCTTCGCGAAGGAGCAACAACCCAAATCAGATGGCCTTCATGGTCTAGTTCTGGCACCCCCCCCCTCATGTAGCTTGTTGCGGAAACACAACAAGCACACCTTCTCTGCAGAACCAACAGGTTTCATTGCTAAATATCTGAGCATATGGCTGAGAAAGCTACGCCTTCCACGGTTACTCTGTAACGGCTTGGGCCCGAGAAAAGCCAAAGAAAAGAAAGCCGGAGGATGAAAAGGCAGCTGGACAAAAAGCTCTGCGATAAGCAAGAGGTCAAAGCAGAGTCAATATCGGCTGTAGCTTTTGAGGCGGTTGGGAGAAACTGGAAGGGATCAGAGCGCCCTGAAAAGTGATTGCCGGAGGGTTACTCTCTTCTGGCCTGGACAGACAGGTCGTATTTATTTTTTTTTTTTGCCATTCACCAAGAATGTCCTGTGTTAGTTTGAGTTTGAGTTTATTCACAATACCACTTCAAACATTACAATAATACAGTTGGGGTACAAAATCAATTGGGTAGAGTGAATGGGCCCCCCCAAGGAAGCTAGGAAAGCTTATAGGTGGGGGCCCATGGTTCATAAAAGGGTAGTGGTATAGACAATGGTATACACAGTTACCACCTGTAACCAGATGATGATGAGTAAATGCACGCACAGAGCGCACCAGAGCACAGAACATCACATACACATACAATCATACACATACATACACATACATCCTAGTCCATGAGAAAGCAGTTTTATATTAGACACAGGTTAATAGGAAATGATTTTTTAGTTGTCTTTTAAAGTTTAAAGTCTTTTTTTATATTATATCTTATGTAATAGATCTTCCAGTTTACAGCAAAATGTGTCAAGAGCAGAGTCTGGTGGGCGATAGAGTACACCGACAATAAATGTTTTGTCATTATTGTTAATCTCAATGAAGAAAGACTCACAGAGGTCATCCTCTAAATAAAGATCACAGGTTTTTACTTGGAGACTGCTCTTAACATAGAGGCAGACCCCTCCACCTGTTCTATTTGGTCTGTTCTTAATGTGTAAATTGTACCCATCGAGATTAAGTAAATCGGCATATGAAAAGTCATTGAGCCAGGTTTCACTACACCCAATAACATCAAAATGACAGCTTGAGTTAGACAGTAGGGAGGCTAAATCAGAATGATGTTTGTTTAGGCTTCTGATGTTTAGATGTAACAGTGAATAATTATATATATCATTTAATGGTTTTAAGTTATCAGGGTCAAAAACATTACAAGTAATATTGCCACCCATATCAATGCAGTGCTGAGAATCTCCAACGATGTTGAAATCATCAAAACCCATAATATAAACAGTACAGATTGATCATGGAGTTTTCTGGGATTACATTGAGACATTGACACGGTGGAAGCCGCAGGCACACTCGGAACAACCAAACACACGCACATACACACATCACACACACAAAGAAGTATTCTGGTACCATTGTGTAAGCAATTTGTACCACGCCGCAGTCATCACCGCCGGCTCGCAAAAATGTAGCCTCTTGAAAATGAAAAGAGAAGTTCAAGCCTCCCGTAAAGGGGAGTAGGCTCTCGCTCGTACAACTCCGACATGACCGCCTTGAACTCATTCCGCTGGTCCACAACCTCTGGAGGATAATGCTCAAACACAAGGATGGGATGGTCCCGGAATTTCAGCCTTTACCTGGAACCTGAGGAGACGAATGATGACCGGTCTTGGTCGCTGGTTGGGCGGAGGTTGAGGTCTCTGTGAGCCCGTTCACACTCCACAGGCGAATCGAGGACCCCTCCAAAGACCTCCTGGCAGCCTTCAGGCATACCTCTCGCGCTTCATTAAACAGGCTGTTCTTGATGGTTTGTGGATGACTAATGATGAAATCAAGCAGTGTATGAGTAATGACGTGATGTGGTAACAAGCGAAGCACGCTGATGATGAGGTATGAGCCTGAAGGCTGCCAATACCTCACGCGCATCATCTTCACACTCAAGAATTCCGAGTTCGTCAGCATGTTGTGTCACGGTAGTTATGACACCGTTCAACTTGGTCGCGAGAGCTGAGAGAGTTTGTTTAAAGTCCTCGGAGATGGCGGTTCGATGAGACTCAAGCAAGTGGGTGAGGGACGCCATATAGTGACCGCCGCGGCGTTTGGGTCGGTCTGCACCGCTTTAGTTTTCGGCATGGTCGCAGCAAGTTAGTGAATGTACTACTTTGGATACGTTTAGGAGAGAGTTAAGTTACACACGGCGAGTTTAAAGATGAGCGAACATTTAGCAAGAGCGCGAGACGCAGCGTGCTTCGCTTGTTACCACATGACGTCATTAGTCATACACTGCGTTGATTTCATCATTAGTCATCAACAAACCATCAAGAACAGCCTGTTTAATGAAGAAAGTAAAAACAGGCACACAAAGGGAAATCATTTACTGCAGAATCAGCCACTGTCAGTAATCATTACACACATTATTAAACCATTAATATCAGTGAACGTCAGGAGGACGGAGATCCTCGCTGCCCTCCGCTTAACCGCTGGGTTGGTTTATAGGGACCATCAACAGATTTCTCAGATTTTTGTTTTGTTTTGTGTGGCTGTTCACATTATTTTTTAAATGTGCCCCATTTCAGATTCTAATGTGAACAGATGAGAGATGACATTGGAAATTCTGCAATGGTCACACTCAGGTAACATTACAAAACAATCAGACCTGTGTCTGATTTGGACCAAATATAAAAGTGCTCCATATCAGAATTGAAAAGATAATATTCCATGTGATTTGTGCAAAGAAATCAGATTCAGGTCACTTGTGCCTGCAGTGAGAATGTATTTATTTTGTATTAACAGAGTCCAGAAGTTCTATCAGTTGTCTAAGAGATGTCGATTTCTGTGATAAAAAAACCCCCATTCCTTTGACCACACAGGAAACAATAAAGCACGCCCACTGGCAGTTCTGTTGCAGTGTCTATTTATTATTTGCCTGTAGTACATAGAATATGCATATTTATGCTTACAAACAAGGAAAGGTCTAACTAGCATCCATACACAAACATACAACACACATACCCCCATTCACATATGAGCAAACCTTCATGTTCAATCCTGTAATTAAAGCAGAAAATCCACCCTAAAACAGCATTCACTTTTCACTCCTGTGAGTTTAAGCATTTGAAATAAATAAGTCTCTGCCGAGATTCAAAGTCAGAGCCAAACCTCCATCTGGCCTGTGACTAAACAAGATTCTGTGCAGCCATTTCATTGTTAGTGAATATCAGACCATCTGTGTTGATACCCATGAGTCATTTTCCAGTGACCACATTTTCTAACTAACTTTCAGCACAGGATGGGAAATCTACTTAGGAACAAGAGCTCAAATATGTGATAAGTTAACTTCCCCAAAAAGTGCTTGTGGCGAGTCAATGTAAATAACTTTGGGAGATTGTCTTCACATGACTCAGGCTATGAAAACTCTGTGAATACAAAATGCCATTGTATCCAAAACTGTCATCCTCTGTATTGCAGGACTATTGCAGAAAGCCGATGAAAGTGGGCGGGAACTGGCTGTGCAAACCTACAGGACTTCTCAGGAATATGTGATGTGACAGAAATCCAATCCAAACACCACCATACACTGACAATTTATTTATTAGTTTTGACAATGTAGTTGGACAATATTCTTGACACACCTTTGTATGCTTTACGACACGACATGTACAATGACAGCTCGGCAGCAGCATTTGCAGTCTTGACTGTCTGCGTATCATGGTCCTCTTCTTGTGAAGTTAACTGCTCCTCGTTTTAGCAGCTGATACCAACCCTCACTCAGTCAGTCATGTGTAATCTAAGGCCATGAGGCTCCACCTCACTGATGGAGGACGATGTACAACATAAAGAGTTACGTAGATTAAAGCACTGTGCAAAGACTAAGGTGCTGACACCACCCCCACCCCCCAATTTATCTCACACACACACACAACACACACACACAAAGGCCATAAAGCCTAGTACAAACACATACACACAGGTATGTACACACATACACAGATCTCTAAAGGCATGTTTTCAAACTGTGTTGGATCTGTATCATGCCCGCTATGCAAGGGGGCTTGAATGATTTAGAATTTCCTGCATAATTCAAAGTCTTGACTGACTCACCTACATGTCAAAGTTAGCGGAGAGAAGGAAAACATAGCTGAGCAACTGGATCTCTTTGTGCTTTAATAGTAAACTGGGTGAAAAATGGTTTTAAATATAACTTTTCAATGGCCACATCGGGTAAAGTAGGCACTCTCTTTCATATTCACTGACACACCACCAAATTAAATTTCCACCACCAGTGTCCTGACAGTGGCACCTGCCAGCGTTAACCCCTGTGGTTTTGGCTGGGTCTGGTTTTGTTTGCCTTTTGCTTGACTCTACATATGCAACACATTAAATGAGTTCAACATTGTGTATATATATATTTCTTCAGAGATTTTTTTTGAGAATTGAATAATTTGGACAATAACGGGCAAAAACTTGAAAATCAGTAGTTTGTTTAAGGTCACCGGTAATAAGTTATGATTTCACTCCTGGTCCACAGAGACAGTGACTTTTACTACAAATCACTGCAATAGTAATAAGAATGTAGGTAACGCAAATCACATCAAATCCCTTTGACATAATTACTGAATGCATAATGGTCAACTCTTATCACAAGTCTGATTAATAAGTGCAAATATCTTGGATTTGTATTAATAGTTTGTCAACTGGTCTACTTGTGCTTTAGCCAATAATCTGAGATCTCTCTGTCACGAGGAGTCGGTAGCTTGACAGAAAGAGTCTAGCAGGCATCCATCACATTAGTGACTAAAGCACATACTGTATTTCCTTTTGCCATTCGTGTGTTGCTGGTAAACACTGGTTCAACAGAGCCCTTGTGCTGACTGACAAAACAAACACAGAACGGATCTAACAAAGCCACAGGACAATCAATCCACCAACCAATCTTAATTTTCTCCTAAAAGATCTATACAGACAGACAAATCGAGACCTGGGGTCCCACGGATGAGTGGAGGCCTGTGGTATGTCTGCAGAATATATATCTGATGTTCGTAGTCTTAAGACTGATGTCCATCTCAAGTCTTTAAATCACACGTCTGCATGTGTGGCAGTTTTTGCAGCAGATATGACTTTGAAACAGGAGTCTGTGTGGAGACACATCAAAGCATCTGGCAGATCTTCTGAAGGGCGTTTCTTTCCCCTTTGTCTTGCAGTATGACATTATAGTAATCAGGCTTCAGCAGTCCAAAAAACACCATCTGCAGCCTGATGATGGTGGTCAGATGTCCTTCCTTCTGCATTCTGTCGCGGTTCATTTCAATGATAGGGACTAAATAAAGGAAGTATGTGTTTAAAAAAAAAAAAGGTTTCTTAATCATATCAGTTAACCGTCATCCATTCCTCATAACTTCCCTTTACACTTGTATCCTCTCATTCCCCATTGTCAGCTCCCGTCTAACTTACTCCTTTCCTCAATCCAGCTTCTTCCTGCTTGTCCTTTACACCGCCACTCTGTTCATTCCTCCAATCCTGTCCAGCAGGCCAACTGAGGAACTTGTGTAACACACACACACACAC